ATGCGTGGAAAGCGCAAAATTCAAAAAAATGGGTAAGGTGCGGGCGCGGGTGTGCGGGCGCGCGCAGGCGCGGGGGGGGGGGGCTTCGCCGTTCCCGGAAGTTACTTACTTCCGGGTTCGGCGACCAACCGGATCGCAGGGACCGGTGCGAACCGGTCGAAACCCAGCCCTGTTGTTGACAACAAAAATAAATCTGTTAAAACAATTAAAGAATTCTGAAGAATTCTGAACAGCTGAGGCAGGAACCTTAGAAGTAATACATGGGCATCCGAGCATCATCTCCATGAATTTATCAACCTAATTTTCTATTTTCGAAGCCCAGCAAAACAAAAGGAATATCCTGGTAATCCTAATATACTATGTTTTTAACCATCGTCATCTTGTGGTAACTTCTAAATATAATACTGTAGTGTTTGTTCTCTCAATTTTGTATAATCAGCTCACTGTTCATACAAAGTTGAAGCAACCTTTTTTGATTCAAAAGAAGGAAACATGAAACTCATCTGCATAAACTCAAAAAATTCCGTTTTCAAAGAACTGTGTTCTACCTTTGCAAAGCCTGGTTACAGATCATGCAACATTAAATGCAAGGCTGTATTTCAGTTTCATCTGAAAAACTTCCCAAAATACATACAAAATCTTTGGCAATATATATTCATAAAATACTGGCAAAATATTTTCTTGAGGACAAATCTCCCACCCACACCTCCACCTGGAGTTAAATAAGCAATATAGTTAATCCTTTGTATAAACAACCAAGTAAATTCTAGTAAAAGCGGCACCACTCACAAATAGCAGACATTGCCAGTTAATTTTCTTTAAACTAAAGGAATTTGTTAAAAACTTACATCTTCAAGAAGACAAACAGCAGCAGGATTTCCACCAAAGGGTTGGTTGGTAAATGCATCAATTATGAAAACTGAAATCTGCATTTTCTTCCTTACAGAATTTCACAAAGCTTTTTAAAATTGCCCTTTGGAAATTGCAGCGTCTCTCTTTCTTGTTATTGCAGAAATGTCCAAGTTAATATTAAACTCAGCAAGTAGAAAGAAGCAGTAATCTTTTATCTAAATTGATTTGTCTTCTTTACCTATTTCAGCAACTACGCAAAGACTAAGCAATTTATGGCATTATTATTTACTATGGGATTTTGAAGAGTTATTTTTTGTTTATCTGAGTTGCCAGGACAATTGTGATCCTGTAAATTTACTCAGAAGTAAAACCTACTACATTGTTTAACTTTTCCATTACTTCAGTATTTATAGAATGACTTTTTGCCATTCCTTAAGAGCAAAACACAACTGTGTTGGCATCTGGCAGCAGTTTCTACCATTTCAAAGAAAGAAACCTGTAAGGACTCAGCTAACAAAAACTAAAACAATGAATATTCCATCCCCAAATAACATTAAGAGAGCTACAAAAGATGGGATCAGATATGTTTTGAGTCAGAAGATTTTAAAAATAAACATATAATTGAAGCTAGGGATTTTCCTTTTGAGGTTAATGGATGAAAAGGTCTTATGGAATTTTGTTTTTATATATAACAGTGGCAAGGCTCCTATATGCACAAAGCTGAAAGGACTTACAGATACCCACAAAGGAAAAATGGATGACAAAGACAATGGAATTCACAGAAATGGTGAAAACTTTGATTAAAGATGATTTTGACCAATTTCATTTGGAAGAAATGAAATTGTGATTTTTGGATTTGATTAGAAACAAAGGATTATAGAAATAATGTTGTGTAGACCAGGGGTTGGCAATCTTAAACATTCAAAGAGCCATTTGGACCTGTTTTCCACAGAAAAGAAAACACAGGGAGCCACAAAACCCTTCCCATGCCTGACCATTTCCTGAGCAGCCACAAAACTAGCATATGTAGTTGAATTAAACATTCTGTTTTCTTCTGAAACTTTTATTGGGTTTATCCATGGTTGGCCTTCTGGGGTCAAAGAGCTCAATAAATCACGTTCTGGTGGGCGTCGCACATTGGCAGTTGTGACACATATTTTAAATGACAGGGAGCCACAGCAGAGGGATGAAAAAGCCACATGCGGCTCCAGAGCTGCAGTTTGCTCGCCCCTGATGTAGACTATTAAGAACTTTAGAATCTGAATTTGATGTATTTTTTTATTTATTTCTAGACAAAGAAAGTTGAAAGTTATTCTTTTTCTATTCTCTTTTTTCTTTTGGACTTTTATCTTGCTTTTCCTAAATTTTCCTTTTTTCAATTAATTTTTCTTCTTGCTCATTTTTTTTTAAATTCAAGAAAGTTACATAAAAAAAGAAACCAAATTCCATTACCAAATGTAGAAAAATGCAGGCAGTTGTGGTTTGACCATAACTTTTCCCTCCTTTCATCATTGCTTTTTCTCCTGCTGTAGCCATTGCCTCCCTAACATTACATTACATTACATTAGCAGCACACATAATTCACCTTTGAGATTCATAATATTCCCATCAGAAAGCAAATGTGTTGGAAAATGTGGATGAGGAACATAATTGTGGAAGGTAAGGTACATGGACAATCATTGGCTTCTTGGTTTTTAGCTTTCCCTTAGATTTGTAATCCCAGTTCACCTGCTATGCAACATTTTATAATAAGAAATGAATGTTAATTGAACAAATTTTCTTTCCCCAATATAGAAAGACATTGACTGTACACCTAGAACAGCATTAGCAACACTACCTACACTAATATTGCAATATTTGATTTACAATATTTGTATTGTACAAATTGTACTTCTCCTATATTGTTGAATATGATACGTATTTTTAAAACTATGCTTCATTTGTACTATAAAAACTACTATAAAAGTATAATTGCACTCTTTCACTGTGCATACAAGTCAAAATATATGTTTTCAAGCCTCTATGGGTGAGCATGTGTCCTACTTGGAAGACCAGGTATCATAATCTAACTTAATTATGAAATGAAGTTTTTGGTTTAAAAGTCATGTTCACCACAAAGCTCCCTATGAAATTGTCAAATTAAAGCAAGAATGTGTAATTATAAAAAAGAATTGATACTTTGTAATTTAATTTTCGGAATTATCTTCTGATGGTAAACATGAAATAAAACAGATTTTTAAGTAAATGTGCATGGGCTGGTAAATACATACTTAGTATTTTTATTCTAAGCTGATCTTGATGTGAAGCAGAGCTTCATCACATTGAGTTGCATTTCAATAATAAAACATTTACCTTAATAATGAACAGTTAAGTTTGCTGTCATATTGATAATTCTCAATTTACAACTGGTCATTTATCAACAATTTGAAATAAAACAGACTATTCCAAAGGTACTTACAACTCAGTTCCAAAGTACCAATGGCTGCCACACATACCCTTGACATGAAACCATATCTCAGGTGTTCAGCAACTGGCTCACATTTATAGCCATTTGCAGCATCCTGCTGTCAAATGACATTTGGTTGTTTTGGGGTTTTTTGCTGACAATTGGCATTAACATCCATTTTTCAAGAAAAATGGTCCATAGAAAATAATAGGTTCACTTAATGAACATGGATTTACTCAACAAACATAGTGTTCGCTTTGCAACTATGTTCTCTTAACGACCACTGCAAGAATGGTCATAAACTTGGGTCAGTGATGTGACTCACTTTATGACCATCAGAATTCACAATCATAATGGTTGTATTCCAGAGACTACTTGTACTTTGGAACATTGAATGTAAAAGTGATTTGCACCCCAAATAAGTCCTAATTGTTTAAAGAAAAAGAGGTAATGAAATGACATGGCTTCTGAATGTATGTTATACCATTTCATGATTGATAAATGACATACAGAAAAAACAGAATAATAAACTTGTCTGATCATATTTTATTAACCCTTTCATACAGCTGATTGTATAATTTTTGTCTTTATTAAAGGTTTAGTTAGAAACTGTAAACATCAAAATATGTACCTTCTCAGAAGATCAAATTGTAAAACCAAGCAATAATTAAAAAGATTAGACTAATCATAAAATATACTGAAACCAACAAGAAAAACAAAGCAAATCTGGGATGTTGTTTTGTGACTCTGTATAACGGAGCAAAATAATTCGCCACTAGTAAAAGTTACTTTTATGTCAATATTGATAAATAGGAAAACTCGTTCTAGTTCAAATAATTGATGTGAGAATCAGAATAATATATTAAAGTGCTCAACAAGAACACACATGAGGTATATTCTATGACTTTTACCCTGCCTACCGTTTGCCTAAATAGCAGCAAAGAGAAGGAACTTAACCCGGGTCTTGAAAAATAGAATTTGAGTGCAATTCTTTTTCAGAAAACTGGCACATCCTTTGTTCAAGAAATCAAAACAGATTTCCAATCATCTCTGTCGGTAGGACACATTGAAAACAACACAAAAGTAATATCTAAAGAGCTAGTGCCTTACATGCTGGCAACAATAATAATAAAAGATTGGAAGCTGACATTTTCACTCCTAGGTTAGAGTTTCTCAAAACCGTTGCACTTTTAAGAAGTATGGACTTCAACTCCCAGAATTCCCCATGCATCATGGCTAGCTCGAAAATTCTGGGAGTTGAAGTCTACGCATCTTAAAAAGTTGCCGGCTTTTGAGAAACACTGACCTAATGGAACGTTCTTCTTTGTAACGCGCTTTCTAACGGAACGGAACGTTTGCTTGATCACCAAGACAAGCATCTTAACGAGTTGGGACTGTATTCGTATTTCCAACGTTGTGCGGATGCGGGCAACCAACGGAAAATTGCCCCAGATTCTTGGTTACAGACCGTCGCGGTAGGAGCGTTGCGCATGCGTACCCCTCGCCGCCTTCCTCGTCGACGGTTTCCTCCTCCCGCGCGGAGCGTCCCCTCGTTCGCCAGCCATTCGCCGCGCATGCGCCATTCCCGCCGCTAGGCGACGGGAGTCCTCGCGATACGCGCGCCTACGACGCCATCCTGTCTGCCTCAGCTGCGTAGCTTGTTAGTCGGCCGTCGGTTAAGCTCTTCCTTGTTCTTTGTGGGGGAGTTCCGCGCAGCCGTTTGGGCCGATCGCCTGGGGAAGTGGGTGAGGTGTTGCCGGTGAGTGGGTGGCGGGAAGCGATAGGGCCACTTGTCCCGATATGCCGGGAGAAAAAGAGAGCCGAGGTGGGCGGACCCGCCTTCTCGCTCCTGAGAAACGGGCGAACTCCTTCGGGGGTGGGGGGGAGGGAGAGGGGGGAGGGGAGAAAGAAAGGGTTAAACGGCGCCGTGCGCACGCGCGCGGGAACATTCGGCAGGGGTTTTTTTTTGCTCTTAGCCGCCATTTTTAACTAGCCGGCCACCGCGGGGGTGGGGGTGGCCGCGACGCCTGAGATATGTGGCGAAGGGCTCCCTCGGCCTACTATAACGGTATCGCAGTGTGTGTTGCTGGCTGCAGCCGCCGCTACATGAAGGGCTCTCTGTAGGGCAAAGGCCGCGCGGAGGAAGGACGAAGACGGCGAAGCGGGTCCCCGGAACGTGACAAAAGAAGCGTGCGCCTCCGCCATTGAGACCCCTCCTCCGCCGAGGACCACCTCCGGCGCCCTCCTATCCGGAGGGCTCGTGCGCCTGCGCGCTGAGGTCGGCGTAGCGGAAGGCTCAGGACCTTCGCGACCAGCGTTGCGTGTTTGGAAGGCGAAGAGTCGGTTTCTCTTGACAACCTGAAGCATCGCGGCTCCCAAGTTCAGCTCCCCGGAAGTAAGGTGCCTTGGAGTCAGTTGGCACTGGCGAAATGGAAAGAGGCCGTCGGTGGCAGGGGCTTGGTCACAATCCCTCCCATAACGCGGAGGATAAAACGTGAAAAAGGTTTTCACGAAGCCTCAATAAATAGGGCTAATGGGCGGGGATTCGGACAGTTGAGATTGAAAAGTCAGAAGAGCGCAAGGTTAGGGTAGTCTGATGGCATTTGTGTGCTGACCAAGCGACAGGGATTGGTGGGGCCTTAAGCCACCTTGTGTCTTGTTAATCTGGTGTATTTGATTGTAAATGGTCACTCAACGAGGTCATGGGCTGTACTGTTGAGACAAGGAATAAGGAAAAGAATAGTAACCATTACCAATATTACATGGAAGTGCATAGATGGCTGATTTGGTTGAATTTTGAATGGGTTTCAGAAATGGCAGGACTAAAGATACTTCGCTGAGTTCGTTCAGTGAGTTAAGGAAAAGGAATTTGAATGGTCCCCATTTAATCCCATTGGTGGTGTAAGTGAAGAGACACTTTCTTGATTTAGGGCCTCTCACTTAAAAGTATGACTGTTTTAGCAGAGATCTTTGTATGCAGTACATGTAAGCTGGAACCCAACTCAAGGAGAAATACTTGTCTATTGTACTGAACATGACAAGGTCATGCTGTCCATAGCTTTGTATTAACCTGTAGGGATATTTACCAAAAGTATATGCTGCCTCACTCTAGGCAATTTACCATATTCAAATTTATTATTTATTCATCAGGTTTATACAGCCATGCAGTCAGTGTTAAAAATGAAAGTTATAATTATAGAAGCCCAAAGCAGAAAAAGAATGTGTAGATGCACCTCAGTACTTCTAAATATATTTCTGCCCTCATGACAAAACCAGAACATCAAGAGGAGAGAAGCTAATCTAATTTCCACTTTAAGTGATTTATTATTTAAAATAATAGCATAATTGATCTAACTAAAATATTAGTGCCTTTACTAGGATAGTTTTAATGCAGTCTGTTAAATAGTAAAGTGCATTTTTCAAAGTTATATTGTTTACATTGCACAATGTCATTTCAGTAAAAGGCACACCAAATGCCTTTCAATCTGAGGCACCTCTGCGTACACGTATGGGAAAGTTTAATTTATTTTTATAATTTCGTATTTATGGTTCTACGGTGCTTTACATGTTTTAATTTGAAGTTCAAAATACTGATCAGTGTATCAAGAATTTGACCTTAAGTAGTAGTTTACATAAGATATAAGTTTGACAGTACAGAAAAGCAAGTCTTTGTTTTTTTATAACTACAAGAAGTCTTTACAGGTAATCCTTAGCTTACAAATGCAATTGGCACCAAAATTTTGGTTGTAAGTTCAAGCACCTATGTGACCAGAGCAAAGTTGTTGTTTTTTTACCTTTTTTTATAGTGTCAAGCAAATTACACAGTCAAAAGCCCAAATCCATTCTCCTGAATGGGTAATTTTTTTGCAGGAAACCACAGAAAATGCTGGAAACTGAACAAAAAAGCCACAAGTTCCAATCATGTGACCACAGGATATTGTAACCAGTCTTAAATGTGAGCCAGTTGCCAAGTGCCTGAAATGTGGTCATTTGATTGTGATGAGATTCTCTAACTGCTCAAAGTGCTTGACAGGCCATATAACACATTTTCCAAAGCTGTTCTTAACAGTTGTTAAATGACCTATCATAAGTTGAGGACTACCTATAAAGTTTGGATGTTTAAAACAATATTAAACATGGGAATAAGCTTAATTGAAGAAACTGGAAATTCTTTTGGGGTAAATATATAAAAGATCTTACTAAATTAGTAGATATAAAATAGATCAAAATGGTGGCATAAGTAAAACTAATTATATATACTATTTAAATAACATCTGTAGTGCTCAAACTTGGATGAAATAAATAATTGCAGGAAAAATACAGCATTTACAGAAGTGCTATCCATTGAGTCCATTGTTGCTTACTTCCAGGTAAGCGAGCACAGATTTAGTGTAAATGTGGTTTTGACAATATCTGGATGTGTTATAGCCAAAAAAAGTTCAACTCTTGAACAAGAGTTTATATATCTTCAATGACTTTGTGGCTTAGGAAAGAAAAAAGGGAGGGTCAGGATGGGTGTATAGATGCCTGTGGAACATTACAACTGATGCTGTAACCTGAATATCTATGGATATCTTTGGTCATCAAAACTGAAGTTTCTTGGATGAGAAACGAAACAGTTTTATTCTTCCTCCTCAAGGGGAAAATAGTCCGGTTGCCTTTTGAAAAAGCACTTTTGAGATGTGTGTCTAGAGGTGTTTTTTTTTTTTTTTTTTACTCTGGCCCCCACCATTGGCTTGTTCCCAACAGATTGTTCCAGAGGAATTGCAATCTTCAACAGGAAAACAACTCTTCATTCCACATAAATAGAATTTAACTCTGATGTTCTAATTCTCATTTTTTATATTAAGAAAAATATGAATGAATTAGAAATGTATTTATTTTAGTGTGCCTAAAATTCATGTGTGTATTGTGGGGATAGTTTTAAAAAATGATTTCTTCCAGATTTCTTAAGTAGCTTATTGTGCTAGCCATTTTTATTTCTATTTTGTTCAATATATTTCTAATTAATTTTCTGAAACAATTGGGTTTTTGAACATGTTGTAAATGTACATTGTTAATTAAATACAATAAAGGTATTAGCCCCAAAGAGATTAAACCTATATAGCAGGAAAGAGGGAGTGACTTTCTTTGATGCTGCAGTTCTATATTAATTGTGAAAAATGTCTTAATTGGAGTATGAGACTGTGTACAATATATCAATAACTCATGGTTTTATTGAAAAGAACTAGTAAAAACACAGTGAAGGAAAATATCATTATCCCATGCCCAGGACTGGAGTAGAGTGTTCTGCTACCCTCCAGAATGAAACTTCATACTGATTTCAGATTTTCTTAATTGGTTGGTGGAATAGAACAGTTTAATTTGGGTGATCTGAAATAGGGGTTTTTTGTTTGTAGAATAATTACAATTCTTTCAAAGAAGTATGCTTGTTAAATTCTGTATGTAAGATACTTTTTTACCATACAATTCAATTTTTTCAAGTGCTTTTAAATATTTTTCCTTTATTTATTACAGTCTTTTAAAAGAAAGTCTACATCTATGGGTCATGTAAAAAGAATCTAGGTTCCTTATTCTGATAAATAATGGACATGTTTTTATTACAGAAGATACTATATTGAAAACCTACAAAGCTGGTCTAAGAATACAGAATACATTGCATTATCCCAAAGTTCTATTAACGTTCCAGTGAAAGTCTCTTAAGAACTACTAATAATGTGTTCAACCTCCATTTGCAGAGTTAAAGGTTCTATTAATGATAAACCATAGGAAAATAAGGAATGTACTATTATCTTCTACATTATGAACTGGAAACATGTTGATTGTTAAACAATATCAAGCCATAGCTCTACCTAAGATTCTATTCTCTAGTTGGTTTAAAACTATTCTCGCTATTCTTTCCAAGCTTTGTATTGTAATGGAAATGGGAGATGGGTATAAGGAAGAGGAAGTATGCAGGAGTCATGTTGCGGTAAAAACACCTATGCTTTCTATAAAAAGTACCTGGGGGGGAAATTGTTGATTTCAAATCTCTGAGCTAAGATTTGAATTTATTTTTGAGTGTGTAAACTGCCTGGAACAAAGCCCAGCCTAAGAATCACTCTGCATATGTGTTGAAATGTGACTTTTGTTTTTGTTGAGAAGATGCTCACTTTCAGGAAGAGAACATGAGACCAGCCTCTGGAATACTACATGCATCATAATATGCATTTTCATGAGCTCTGCACTACTATGCACTACATAATGACTAATACTTTCAGAAGAGATGGAGATCCACAATTTCCTCCTGGCATTCCCAGTGGCATTTGCTCCTCCAAGTTTCCCCCTTCTTTGACCATTCCTGGCTGTTCTAAATGGTTCGGCTTATCAAGTTCTTTAGACATAATGTTTTAGAATGCATTTTGCTCTGATGGTGAAGCTTCCATTCATGCTGAACAAATGGAAAACTTTCAACGCTTTATGACACAGTTTTAGTTGAACTTAAAAGATATTGAGGACAAAAATTGGTGCAGTTGGCTTAGGATGTATGGGCTGCTGGGAGAGACTTGTTAATCATGGCCTCCATAGAGCTTTGGTGAAAAGATAAACCAGGTAATGAGTTTATAAACCAAGGTTTGGTAACTTTTTACTAGCTGTGGTTGTGCTTGGGTGTTTTTTTTTTCCAAGGACATGTGCTGTGACAATATAATAAGATTTTTTAGCTTGCTGCCACCTCAGCTTCGGGCATTTTAGAAGAAATTAAACATAGGAGCTGTTTGCGATAAGGTAAGGTGAGAGACCATTGTAGGGAGTCTTAAAGAGGCATTTGTAGTAAAGTCTCTGGTAAAAAGTAATTTTTCCATTGTGAACTTTCTAAGTAGTAGAAATGAAAGTAGCACTGTCATCTATTTTGTTCATAAACCATTGCACTAGAGAACAGTAAAACTGATATGGGTGAGATTGGTATCTTTGGATGCTAATTGCTGTCTTCTTAAACATTGTGTTCCATTTATAAAATGGGAACAGACAACTCCAGTCAGAAAGTCTATTAAAAAAATTCCCTAAGAGTTCTCCATTAGAATTTAAAATCTTTCTGGAAGTTTTGGTTGAAATCTGAGAACGTTTCTAAAGAGTCTCCTTTGTTATCTAAAGCTAAACAGTCTCCAAGCTTTATAATCTGGAAATACCTGATAATATGTGTTACTTTAGTATGATGGCTTTAGAAGCTATGGCCAGTCATGGAGACTTTAGTTTCAAAATGTAAGCTGGTGAGACTGGCATTCCACTTAAGCTTTAACAGTTACCTCAAAGTAAAAATCAGTGCTTAACTCTAGCATTTTGCTTTCCAGTGTGTTTGGATGGGTGGAATTGATATTTTAAAGAAGTATAAAAATATTGAGATGTGCTGTGGAACTTGATAGATGCAAAGGGAACCCAGGACATAGAACTTTAATACACTGGTCAAATTTTCCCCTTCTCCAAGAATCTGAGGGATTAACATGAGTAATACAAATGAGGCCCAAAGAATCAGACTTTAGCAGGCTCTACAAAATCTGCCAGGAAGCGAGAGTATTATGAACTACATGTACTACTATCTTTTGCTTCTTTCTTATTGTCGTTACGTCTTATGCTTTGTATTGCTGTGAGATACTTTTTCCACAAGAAAATTCACTTCACTGGCAATTTTTATGAAATGTTTTTAGTATGTGTACCATATCCATTTTTGTGAAATCCCCCCTGCCTAAATGTGTGTGCTGAGAATATCATTTTCTTTCTGATATCTCTAGCCCACCTTAGCAAGATCTAAAGCACAAACTATTCTGAGCAGAATATTTTTCCCATTATAATTTTTCTTTTAACGTTTCTTTTAACCTACTGTTTCCTGCAGTTGTAGGTGGAGCTTTAACTCAAAGTAAATCGTTCTACCCCACCAACCAACATTTCATAAATAAAATTGTAAAGACAGTATTTGTAGATATTTTATTATGGGAATTGCAGTCCAAAATATTTGGAGGGACTACTTTGGGTAAAATTAAAGTGGAAGGATGCTAGTCTAATTGTAGTGGAAGAAATGTCTGCAGGTATGTGAATTGTATTTTGAATTTGCTAGCTATTGTATCATTAAATGTACTTCCTGGTTCTCTCAACTTGTGCAGTTTTTACATTGTATGTACACACTATGCATAGACATACTCCCATACAGACTACTATTACTTTACATTTGCACCTTAAAATTTCAATGAATTTTTTTTAAAAAACCATGAACCTTGCTTTTCTATTTTGCTGGTGTTTTATGTTGCTGGGATAATGCAGCCTCTTGTGCACACACCCAAATTCATTTCCCTCCCCCTGTTAGCTTAATGTTCTCTTTCCCTGTCACCCTCTGCCCCCAGAATTAGTTGTTTGACTGTCTTTCCATTTATTTAATTGTGAGCTTCTAGTCCTGAGCCCTATAGGACTGCTGCCTTGGCCCTTGTAGCTGGCATTGGAATGAACACCCATGAGATTTGTTTGCAGGTTGAGAAGCATGCATTTATTTCATATGTATTTTTAGGAAACAATTTGCTGGGGCTTCGCTGGCCTGCAGTAGTATGAATTTAAAAAGAGTGCCCTTTGCAGTGATTGAATGTGTATTGGGCAAATGTGAGAGGGAGGAAGTAAGTATTCAGTAGTAGAATTTGTCTTCATAGATTAGATGCCTATCAGTCGAGGTCTTGAGAATAGCTATGTGGCAGGTTGCATGAGCAGGTCATGCTAGTTCCGTATGAGTTCAAGACAATGGCAGTTGTAAATTATCACAGCATTATACTCTGAGCAGTTGTTGCATTTTTAAAAAAAGTTCAAGATGTTTCTAATGTATACAGTCCTGCTTAGGAAGGGGTTGGGGGGGTGAATCGTCATTCTCAAATGCTAAATTTGCTGTTTATGTTTTTTATGGTGTTTGATTTTAAACAGCAAAATGGACTGGGCTGGGAAACATAATGGTCCAAATGATTCATCTAGTGATGGAACAGTACGATTGCGTGGTCTGCCATTTGGCTGCAGCAAGGAGGAGATCGTTCAGTTCTTTCAAGGTAGCTCTAGTGTTAATGTCAAGTGACTTTCAGTGTTTCTATGTCTGCAAGATTGATATTTGAAACAGCTTAAAATTTTATTAGTATTCTTGGGGGAGGGGGAATCAGTCTTTAAAATTTAGATTACTAATGTTGGTATGCTTTGTTAAAACTCTGCTAAAAAGTAAAGAGTTTGCATTGGCAGGATAAAAATTTACACATTTAGATAGCCTATTAGGAGTCAGAATTTGGAGTATGTAGTTATGACATCATGCAGTATAGGTGGGTTCTTTGTGATGTAGCTGTTGCTGTGTAATCTGAACAAAAGAGACAGTAATACAATGTCTAAATGAAAACTCTTTAGCCTGTGTATTTGGGTTGGGGGAAAGCTAAGCTATTTTCTTGCATTTGTGTAGATTTGCTTTAAGTATTTTCTACAGATGGGAATGTTTCAGACTTTAACACTCTTCCCCTTGATGGGGTTATTTGTCCTTGGGTTAAAGGGTTGGAAATCGTGCCAAATGGGATAACATTGACGCTGGACTACCAGGGGAGAAGCACAGGGGAGGCCTTCGTGCAGTTTGCTTCAAAGGAGATAGCAGAAAAAGCTCTGGGGAAACACAAGGAAAGAATAGGGCACAGGTGGGGATGGAGAGTTTGGGATGGTAAATATTTTGTGGGGGTTGGGGGTCAGAATTGCTTTTGGGGGGGCTGGGGTGCATAAATCAACTGGCTATTTTTTTAAAAGAAAAACACCCTAAGTAACTGGGAGTAAAATAGATGTGGTGGGAGGGGGATTGATAATACTACGTAGCTTGCTAAAATTGGGCTAGTTATGTATGTTTGTTTGTTTTTTGTGGAGGGTGTTCTACAATAGCCAGATTTTTTTGAAAGAACTTTTTACTGGGGCAGGGGGGAGTGTGGTTCAGAGATTTGCTGTATTTAATTTGCAGTTAGAATTTTTAGTCAGTAAAGTAAATCACAGAACTGCTTGATTTTGCATTTAATATTTTAAATCCTAAAAGTGACACTGGAAAAAAAAGTGTTCACATGCCTTCAATGCTATATCTAAGATTTTAAAAAATTTAAATGTGCAGTTTTTGTATTTCTTTCCAATGTTATATATCTGTATTCTTACATTTGTACATTGTAAATCTTTTTTTACTCAGATATATTGAAATCTTCAAAAGTAGTAGGAGTGAAATCCGAGGATTCTATGATCCACCCCGAAGAATGATGGGACAGCGACCCGGACCATATGATAGACCAATGGGAGGAAGAGGGGGTTATTATGGAGCTGGGCGTGGAAGTATGTATGACAGAATCCATCGAGGAGGTGGTGGATATGACGGTGGTATGTGTATCTAATGACCACAGGCTCTTGTCATTTTCATGTTCCTGACATTTTGTCAAGAAATACAGAAATGACAGTAATTATAATACATACCAAGTCTGAAACCTGGTTATATTTCACTTTGTTTATACCAGCCATATGACTTGAGATTGAAAAGATATGGAGAGGCATTTGAAAAGAGATTTAAAATATGAATGAAACTTGGTTTGTGTGTCTTGAGCCTGTTAATGTCTACATAGAAATGTTTGTATTTCATATCAGATCAGTTTGGTTCTAAGCTTACATCCTTTTTGGTGTTTAAAGACTCTTCACAGTCTGTCCCCCTCTTAAATCTCACAGGATATGGTGGCTTTGATGAGTATGGTGGCTATAACAATTATGCCTATGGAAATGATGGCTATGATGACAGAATGAGAGATGGGAGAGGTAAGAAAAAATGTTACCATGTTGTTCAGCTATCTATTATTGTAGATTCGGCTAAGGCTAGGGATATTGCTTTGATGTTTTCAATATCCTGTTTATAAACAGTTTGGTACAAGAAATGGTATGTAGTGTCGCTAGTTCTATTGTTAGGACAGGAATTGATTGGCTTGCCTACACTACTGCAATTGTACTTTACTTTTTTAGAGGAGGCAGCACATATCCTCAGTCAAGAGTCAGTTATGCTTTCATGGACCTGTTTTGCTTTTAGGAATGGGAGGCCATGGCTATGGCGGAGCAGGAGATGCAAGTTCAGGTTTCCAGGGTGGTCATTTTGTTCACATGAGAGGTTTGCCTTTTCGAGCCACAGAAAATGATATTGCTAATGTAAGTATTGTTGAAAATATTTCTAGCTGAAACAAGCGTGTTTTTTTGGGGGGGGGGGTCCAAGAGATGAAAAGTTTCACATCTGGAATCAGATATAACTGTTTTAAAGTATCAAGAAGTTCCAGAGTAACCTTCCTCTTTTCTTTCCCTTTCTTCGGAGAATTTTAAAAACTAATTAAGGTTATTAAATGTGTGTGTGTTACTTTTAGTAATTGAATGACTAGTGGTATTTGAAAGTAACTGAAGTGCACATTTCATGTTAGAATTCCCCTTGGGGTGGAGATATTTTACATAATTAAGCAGAAGGAGAAAAAAATGCAAAACAAAAAGAAACCCCAGTATTTGGTTTATATCCCCATCTTTTCTTCTCTGACAAAAGTATTCAGAAAGGTTTGTAAATCTGATAATCAAAATTTTAAACAGCTGTTTTTATAATTAAAATGATACACGTATAAATTACAAATACTTTAGTCAAAATTAGAGAATTTCTAATAGCAAATATAAGAACTTATAATTACTGTCACTATTATTCAATTTCTTGTAACCAACATGCTATCTATATCTATTAGTTTGAAACTTGGTGTTGCTTTCATTAGTCAGTTAATGTAATATAGAAATGTAGCTATTAGAGATCTCTAAGTTGTGTGATTCTTCTATGCTGATGAATTTGTATTTTTCTTGCTAATGGGGCTGGAAATATTCAAATGAAGGCAGGCTTATAAAAAGAATGTAACATAAATCAGTATTTAGTGGCTTAATGGGAAGGATGCTAAATAGTAGCAACAGTACAATAGGTAGGTAAATCAGGGAGAAGACTGGGAGGGGACCTGCTAATTGTAGCCAGTATACCGATAGGACGCAAGTTGCTGAAAAGAAGAATATTTTGGTTTGAAAGTAACTGCAGGTTAATGAAAAATGTAAATATTATTGGCATCATACTAACCAAATGAGTTAGTATGAACTATTCTGGGCCTACAGTGTTAATAGAAGAGAAAGCAAAGCAGAAACCAAAACACTGACTTGTCCATAAGAATTTGTGCTCCAAATACTTAATCTATATCAGCTCAGTTACTTCTACTTGATATTTCAACGTCATTCCAATGCATGGTTTAGAGAGATACAACCCAAAGCAGTAGCACATTTTTTACATTTTTCTGTACTCAAAAAGCAACTAGGGGAATAATTGCCTATGCTGTTGCATATTAAAGAAGTTATGTTTTATTAAACTGTCATGTACTCTAATCAATACTTTCCTAGTCAGTTTGTTTTAATTTATTGGCTATCCAACTCTAAGGGATTTAATAATAATATCTAATGGATCTGAAGTGTCAAGATTTGTACTGTAAAACGCATATGCATGGTAGAAGTGTGATTTATTTTACACAACTATGTGAATCTTGGACATGACAGACTTAAAATAAATTTGAGGAGTTTTAACTTACTGCTTTCTTTTAGTTTTTCTCACCACTGACTCCTATAAGGGTTCATATTGACATTGGAGCAGATGGAAGAGCAACTGGAGAGGCTGATGTGGAATTTATGACACATGAAGATGCAGTGGCTGCCATGTCTAAAGATAAAAACCATATGCGTAAGTTACAGTAAATATGTCTGAAGTTTTGTACATTTTTCCTTGATTTTGTACAGGTAATTGTAACACTTGCATTTATGGGAGTAAGCTTTTTATTCTTTTAAAGAGCATCGATACATCGAGCTATTCCTCAATTCAACTGCTGGAGGCGGTTCTGGAATGGGTGGCTATGGTAGAGATGCCATGGGTAGGTTTAATTTCAGATTTTTAATTCGATTTCAGTCTACAGGATTTCTAGAGACTAATGGTAGCTGCTCTTTTCCAGAGCAAGGTGGCTATGGTTCCGTTGGAAGAATGGGAATGGGCAGCAGTTACACTGGAGGATATGGTACTCCTGATGGATTGGGTGGCTATGGTAAGGTTTTGTTCTGTTTCATATCAAGATAATTGGTTTTAATTTCCACGAATACTTTGTATTGCATGAAGAACTAAGAATGCAGTGTAGCTTCCATGCTTAGAAGGCATGAGTGGTATCATAAGGGTGGTAAGAGTTCTTTCATTCGTATAGGTGGATATAAAGTTTAAACGATATTAACTACAGGAATAAAAGTGTTGCGGTTATTTTGTAGGTCGTGGCAGCGGAAATAGTGGTGGATATTACGGGCAAGGCAACATGGGAGGAGGTGGCTGGCGTGGAATGTATTGAAGAGTGTCATTGTGTCTCCAAAGCGTGTTGGAAAGAAACAGTACTTGGTCTACTAGGCTTTCTTACAAAACTTAAAAATTTCTTTTGTATTGAAAACTTTATAATGACTGAAGGAATGTGTTTTCCCATTATTTGGTAAGCATCAGATTGTGATGGGGAAATCTGTTTTCTGTAGGTTTTATTTGTTGCATACTCTGACTTTAAATAAATTTTTTATATTCAAACCACTGATGTTAATAGTTTTTATACTAGCTCCTCCTGAAGATAGTTGCGTACCCTAGGATTTTGTTTAAGAAATTTGGTTCATTACAAGCAGTTGTACTGGAAGATTATATTATTGATTCTACATCTATGAAATGAAATGAAATAACCATCAGGTGTATGTTACATTTGTTGAGGTTTGGAAGAAAGCAAGTGTTAAGTGTTAATAAATTGTTTGTCAATGAAAACTTAATTCAATGAAAACTAATGGAAGAATGTCTGAAAATAGTGCGGGACATGAAGGCCATGAGTTAAAATTCTAGAACGACCTAAGGCACAACGGCTACACAGGCCATCTGAACAACGTGTAGATCAGAAATTTCATATTATTTAAAATATATTGATAGAAAACATGGTCTGAATCTTCACTTTGTTTTCTTGACAATTAAAGTTTGAAATAAGTTATTAATAGATACTATATGAGAAAGATGTGAGAGTAAAGCAGAAATCCATGGACTATGGTAGCATTGATAGAGAAGTAACTGTTACAGTTCTTAAAAATAAAACAATTGACTTGAGAATGCCAGTTCTATTGCTGAAGATACCAATGTAAGGATTGTGTGGCCAATCTTGACAACCATCATTATTTCCACCTAAAAGTCTGGTGGCTTCCATAAGTAGTCCTTTTGCTTTGCATTTTTAACATGTAAGATTGTTTGGATGAAATATTGTTTAGCCACATAAGCATTTTCTATGTTTTGAAGAAAAGGTACTAATGTTCATGGATATTTTTTTGTTTTAATTGCTTGTCCTCCAGATTCTTCTGAATAATTTGTCAAATGTGAAAAACTGAAAGTTTGTTGCCTGTTTTTGCTAGTAATGTTATGTATGTAATAAATGTCTTGTGGGAGATAGCAAAATAGATTTCATTCTAGGACATGTGTTGTGTCAATTTATCTAATTGAAGGGCAAACAATGCAAATCTTAAATCTTTTCTACTTTGTACAAAATTTTGTATAGAGAAACACTTTTTAAGGTTTATACTAAAAATGGAAGTAATTTAGATTCTTGAGGGCTCTTTTTTGGTTGAGCATATTTGCATCAAGGCTTGATGCTCAATATTGTAGAGAGTTAAGTATGAGAATTTCATGGGTCATAGAAAAATAGAAATGATACAAATTTATATCCAATACTATGATTCCAAAGCTAAAAATGTTAATTTGTAGATATGTTTTATTCTCCGTAAAGTTTGTACAGACAGCAGCCTCGTATCATAATAGCCATATTTGATTCTGAAGATACGCTTTCCTGTTTGCAACTCTTAGATCCTAAACAGTTTTACAGAATAAATGAAATAGGAAAAGCAAAGATGAGATCCATGATTTCTTCCAAGAAGAGTATTAGGAGGTGGTTTAAGAAAATAATTTTAATATTTTAAAATTAATATTAATTTCAGGGAGGCAATATATTGAAGTACTGTAGTCCTTAAACAGTAAAGCATTCTTACAGTGTTAACATCACGAGTTTTATCATAAAAACTAAATTATGCCTTTTTTCCTCTATAGCAGGGCTGTCAAACTTCTTACGCCATCATGTGATATATTAGGACTTTTTTCCTCTTTGCTATAAACTGGGCATGGGTGTGGCCAGCTCATGACATGTCCGGACCGTGAGTTTGACAGCCCACTCTATAGTGTTGAATCAAAAGGTGGGTTAAAACAGCTTTGCTTGAATACAGTGAGTAAATAGGACCCTTAATAAGGAGCCTGCCTTAGTAATAGGTTCTAGTGTTGAGCACTCAAGTGTTAGAAAAAAAATCCTAATACTCAAAGTGGTATCTGCCTCTGAATTACCATATTTTTCAAATTATAAGATGCACCACAGTATAAAATGCACCAAGATTTTGAAGAGGTAAATTAAAAAAAAAGGTTTTCGCCTTCCCCGGCCTCCAGGAGCACAGTGCAGACCTCCCAAACCCTCTGCATGCCCCATTTTTTGTGAAAAATGGGGCATGCAGCAAGTTCAGGAGGCCTGCAAAGTGCTCCTGGCGAAGACAAAAACGCAATGCATGGAGGGTTTGGGAGGCGAAAAGGGGCCTTTTTTTTCGCAAAAATGTGCCTGTTTTTCACAAAAAAAAATGTGCAGAGGTTTGGGAGGCCTGTAGAGTGCTCCATGGGGCTTGGGAGGACAAAAATACCCCCGTTTTTGTGAAAAATGGGCTTGTTTTTGCCCTCCCCTGCCCCCAGTACAGGCCTCCCAAACCTTCAGCGTGCCTCATTTTTTGTGAAAAACGGGGCCATTTTTTGCTCGTTTTTGCCCTCTCTAGCCCCCAGGAGCACTTTGCAGGCCTTCTGAACTCTCTGCATGCCCCATTATTGCGAAAAATGGGACACATAGGGCAGAGTTTCGGGGGGCCACAATGCTGTATTCAGTGTATAAGTGCACCCAGATTTTCACCCCTTTTTGGGGGAGAAAAAGGTTTGTCTTATACTCTGAAAAATACGGTACTAAGCTTGTCATACTCGATGAGGCACTTGAAATCTCTCTTGACATCTTCTAAGGCTTCTTCCCAGTCCTTAATCATTCTCATTGTCCTGTCATTCCAGTTGTTTTCTACAAACTTTTTTCAACTGTGCCCCAAAGTAGACCCTGTTCAAGGCATTTGTTACTTACAAGGAGTGTACAGAGGATAGTGTGCAGTAACAGGATCATACAATCAGATTCATAACGGAGTGGCCATCAAAGCAAGAACTTCATTATGTAAGCCTCTGATAATCAATATATTGATTCTTTGACTCAAAAGAGGCAAGTAGGATGGATCATCCTAGCATCAGTTTAATTCTTCATTCTAAATAAGAGTGCATTCTAAGATTAATGCAATTGAATCAGGGTCCCACACATTCAGAGTGTCATTGCCTGTATGGAAGACTTATTTTATACATCAAGATTTCTTATCATGTGGCATTAGCATAATTCATAACAAAACCTACCAGTCCCTTAATGAGATTACTTTTTGTAAACATTAGTGCTATACACCTTCTGGTCACATGGGACCAGTACAGCTATAATAAATGTTTCCCAAATTTACTGGGAATAATTGTTTTTTTTTATTTATTTAATGGAAATCTGTGTGTATCTTTTATTACACAAGCAGCTACATAACAACCAAATGAACGATTGGAGCATCACCAGGACTAGCTGAAAATTGTTGAATATTTTTTCCAATGTTTACAAACACTTGTATTTTAATCAAATTTTATTTATGGTCATTGACCAAAATTTCATGTAAAATATCAAACATCAAACGCATAATAAAGATGCTAAAAGACAAAAACTTTCTGACATGGAACAATATCAGAATTATTAGATATAATTATATAGTTACCCAGTGTTTTCTTTCAGCAATTGTGCCCGGACACTACTTTCTTTTGATATTTCGAAGAATTCAGTAGCTGATATTATAATACATTCCAGGAGACAATTGGAGTAAATTACAAGAAAGGGTGATATTAATTTAGAGCATCATGTATGGCACAATAGTATGTGTGATGGTGAGTGAATGACATCCTCCAAACCATTCTTTAAGGGAACAAAAGGTAGCTAGGCCTCCTTTCCAAAAACCATGATGACTTAGCATTAAGTCTAGAAAGCCTAAAACAACTACCTGTAAAGGACAGTTGAGAATGTGGTGTAAATAACACTCTTTTCCAAAGGCTAATGTTAAACCCCAGTAAGAAATTCTGCTTTCCTCTGTAAGTCTAGACCCAGAATGCATTGATTTAAGGACTCTCGGACCCAAGGATTTCCAGGTATTGGATTGAGAATCTGTAGTAGTCAACTCTGAAGCTGCTTTTAAATTTTAAAAAAAAAAAACTTTCAAAATATACAGTCAATTTAAAATCTTGGCATATTTCCACCAAAGAAATTAATAGCTTGTTCTTAGACAATGTCTGTACATAAGAAATGGATAATCAAATAAAATTTGATGAAGATTGTAAGCTCATATTTCTTCAAAGGCTGGATAGTTTTGAGTTTGGATCAAATTTATCACCTGAAATTGAAGAGGAGCTGATTTTACAGCCAATAAAATTACTCATTTGGAATCAGTCCCCCAAATATTTCAGAGCCTGTCTGCAGTTATTAAGTGTGCGTGTTTGTGCGTCTTTTCTCAGAATTGTACCTTTCTTGCAAACTCATGTGAGAACATACTTAAAGAACTGTTAGTGACAAGCGTCCAAAGCACGATTTGGGAATTGAATCTGAACCACTTCACAGCCCTGCTGATTAAGCAATAAAATTCAACCATCTCACAACTGATACAGGAAGGGGGGGATGATAAATGATCATGTGTTAAAGTTAATAACTCATGAGCTTGTAATTATTAGAACATTTATTAGAAAATCGGTTCCATGTTTGTTAAGGCTTACTTTGACATTTTGATACAAGCATTTCAGAATTATCAAGTTAGAAACTACCTTTCTCCCTTAAAAGAGTCCTGCTCACTGAATGATCCAGTAAAGTAGCGTTTCTCAGCTTCAGCAGCTAGGATGTGTGGCCTTCAACTCCCAGAATTCCCCAGCCAGTGCTAAGAATCCAGCCTCTCATAACAGAACTCAATTCATGTGGTTGCCTGGTTCTACCCCAACAGCTTTTTACAGGCAGGGAGTTCCCCAGCAATTTTTTGTACTACCTCAAACCTATAAAAGATTGTCTATTTCAGGAATACTATCTAGATAGTATTCCTGAAATACTGAAAACTAATTAAAATTACTGAACAGCACATCACTGCAACAAATTTTATTGACCTCAGTAATTCTATTTGCCTTCAGAATTCTGTACTGATCTTATATTGCAACTCAATATTTTTTAAATATATCTGGAAGGTACCCAGTTGTGAAAGAGGAATCAAAAAGAGGAAGATTCAAAAAGGGGGAGGGAGGTTGGTTTGGTTTAGATCAATCCAATGGAAAAATGCATTGCAACTTTTCAATAGGCAATGCTTTCACATTAAAAACTGTTCTCAACATCTATTAGAAATAACACACCAGTACAAGAAGACTACCATTTTTTTAAATGACACCCTCCATTTTTCAAGTAAAATTGTTAATTAGATAGTGGTTTTCCAAAAAGTTGCCTTGAATAAGGAGCCCCACACACACACATTTTCCTACAAGACAAGTAAAAGCAACATTGTCCTGTCCTGTTAACAATTCATTTGGCAATCGGCTATTTTGTAATTTAGATTCCTTCTAGATCATTTCGAATAACTTAAGTTTACATTAAAAAGAAGTGCAAATTGTTTTGTGTGTAAGTATAAAAGCTCTATTTATACAAAAAGTCCTGCTAGACTAGTCTCGAGTTCTTGGAGACAAATTTTAAGATACATTCTTTTCACAAATTACCCCAACCAATCTTATACAATATATGGAGAACTGATCTAAAATTGCTACTCTGCCAATCTTTTTTATGAGGCATCACTTGTCTGACAACCACTGTATAGGAAAGAGACATCCCTCAAGTGTGCGTACTACCCTTCCTTGATATATAAAGGATTATTTTGCAACTATTGCAAGTGCTGCATGTTAACCAGTTGGGGAAGTTAACCATGGATTTTGATTCCAGAGGTTTAACAGTATAAGAGATGTAACCTTTCTCATCTGAACCCCCGAATGGAAATCATTCAGCCCTGAGCTGTCTGTCCTAGATGGATCCTGAATATGAATTTCCCTATGAGAAGCAAATCCTTCCATCTTGCTAAGCTAGATCCTCTAACTCTACCAACTACATTCAATACAAACCTGCATTAACTGTTGCCCAGAAACTGGAATCTGAGGCCAACTTGTGTAGAAACACTGGGGAAAATAACTGAGTTCTGCCACATCTGAACAAATATATATTTGTTTATAATTTGCCTCATTCAACTTTGCCCACACATAAAGCAACAATGCTTTTTCAGTGGAAGTGTTGGGGAGGACAAAAAAACTACACAAATAGTGCAGTTGATGTAAACGTTATCTAGCTCCAATGTCAGCTTCTCTGCTTCCCTGTTCTCAGCATAAAGCTTTCATTACAAGGTCAATTCTGCACCACATACTAGAATAGCCCTCTGACAACATAAAACAGCAGAAACAGAACTGCAAAGCAGATGCATTTCAATCATTGCCTCAGCGCAACTGTACAAAACAAAGACTTTGATTCTGGTGTTGCAAGAACAATGGCACAAAGACGTAGTGACAAGTGTTTCCATCATGTTGACATTAAGGGCGCTAAGCCGGAATTGCAGTTATATATATACTCATTCTCATAGGGTGAATGTCTTATAACTTCTGCAGAAGACTTAGGGCACATTGGAAGAACACCTTTGTATGAGTAGTGCATGACAGGAGTCACAGACCCGAACCGGCTTTGGTGAAGATGGCAAAGGCAACTCGTTGTCAGAGCAGGCATTGCAGAAAATTTCACCACAGTTTCTACAATGATGCTAAATTTAAAAAAAAAATGCCAATATAATTTGTGTACTAAGCAATAAGTAACCAATAATAACGTCAGACTACCAATCTAGATACCTATTTTTGAGGGTAAAATAAATGTTCTGTAACAAACCTTGAAGGTATTTTATTTGGAAAATCATTACAGGAATTCTCCCAATGTATTGACTGCTATATACAGAACTAGTAAAACAGCTACCCTCAAATTTCTGTAGCATATTTTTAGAGAACTGAGCCAGCCAAAAGGCTGGCCCCTGGGCCTTGAGTTTGACACCCCTTATCTAGTGAGTGAAAATATGTTTTTAATTCATAGCAATCAATAAAATTTACTGAGAAGTATGTCTTCTGGCACTTGATATATTTCCAGATTTTAATCATTTTTAATTAATGAAAGATGAGACAATTTTTAATATAAACTCACCTTCCTCTTGGAAAGAGAAAATTCTTTTTCACATAATTTGCAGTGAGTAGCTTCTTTGTCCTTCAACCAGACCAGGCCCTAGTGAGGAGAAAAGATGCTGTCTGAACCGAACCACTGCAGGTGCAAAACTATTGTTTTGTTATACGCCATTCAGGTTTTACCAAAGGGCAACTTTCGCAGAGTAAGTCTTTCCTAAACAGATCAGAAATCTTTCAGCAGAAATTGTTCTCTTTAAAAGCAGTGTTTTAAGTTCAGAGAAAGGGAATGGACTTAACTGCAAAAGTTGTTTGTGAATTTGTTGATACTCATCTGAAATATACTGAAATAGCATTTTTTTTAAAAATAAAAAATAAAGCCAGAAACGGACTAAAGATATACCAAAACATTTAAAATTTGAAATAGGTGTTCCCATTTTAACTGAAAGAAGATACTTTTCTAGAAAAATTGGAACACTGGTGTAAACTTCCCAATGTTTCTGGAGTAGCAAAGGAACATTTCTGCAACCTCAGACCAACATATATTATATTGCCAAAAGTATTTGCTCACCTGCCTTTACTCGCATATGAACTTACTGTAAGTGACATCCCATTCCTAATCCATAGGGTTCAATATGAC